GCTTTTTAATTTATTTTCCACTAAATCCTATGATGCTCTAGTTTGATATGTAAAATGTTAGATATTTGGTGGAAGACCCATTATAGGTTTAGCAGCACCTCTTAACAACCTCTGTCTTAACCAGAGCCCAGTCTGCTCTGATTGGTTAGCTGTCGGGCTCTGTTGTGATTGGTCAACCGCTTAGAGATGTCACTATCTAACGGAAGTAACAAAAGGACTACAATGGAGGCGTTTCAGGCAGGGGGGAGTGTGTTGGAGAGAAACTCCCTCTGGAGGGAACTTAGGGATTTTAGCCTTTGCAGACCATTAACATGCACTAAAACCTATATAACACACTACAGGAAAGGGAAACCCCCAAAAAGCAGAAGATGGCCTCTAAAGTGTTTGTTGGCCTTTGTATACAAACATGCACAAATGTACACATCTTACTGATGGCTAACAGGAGGGCGTCACCCACTCTGGCCAGATCCGCCCTCCCCAGCAGCAGCTCCGTCACCTCCAGATGTTCGTTGGACACAGCCAGCTGCAATGCATTCTGGCCCATGTAGTCCACAGCGTTGACGTTCAAGTGTGGCAGGTGGAGCAGCATGCGCCGCACCTCTGGTATGTTGCCGTACTCAGCCGCCTCCAGGAAGCGCTGCTCAACCTCTGACGGGCTGATGGAGGGAGCAGAGAACATGTAGGTTGGACCGCGAAGGGCCTGGCGTCGTTTCACAGCACCGAGAGGGGCCACGAGCTGTCTCTCTGAGCTGCTGTGGCTGCCAGAGTCAGGGGACATAAACACACAGTATATCACATCTACATCGTCCCTTATACAAGCACATAAACCCTCTGGAGAAACACTCATCAGTTACATGTTTGCAGGTTCACATTTTACAACTAAAATAGTTACTTAAATGCTGTTTAGAGAGTTTAATGATTTATTCTACTCATGTGGTGGGGATACCAGTACAAATGCAGCTTACACATGTCTTAAAAAACACCTCAAGTTATGTGCTGCAAGTTTTATTTGGTATAATATGGGATATTTTATACCTGAAAATAAAACCTTTTGGATAGGTTAAAGTCGATTGATCTGATTTCTGACAGAAATACATCATCAGATCAACATGGGACTTTTTATAGTGCTAGTATTGAACAGGTATTTAAAATGATACAATACTGTAGAAATTGTAATCTTGACTCCCCTGGAATGACCGTTGTTTGGATTAAAGTCTAATAATAGGTACCGACAGAGATAAAATGTACAAGCCAGAGATAAAATGTACAAGCCAAGTTTAAAAATAAATGTTATACTTTCAAAGTTCACAGTAGTGAACAAAATCTAGAAATACAACTCAAGGCTTCAACTTTTTTAGAAGACACTGGAGAGAGACCATGTCACTCCCCAAATTAAAGTAATGTAAAATATAGCACCAGTTCAATTACAATGTTTTTCATATAAATAAGTCTCATTTACAGTGTGCAGGGTAAACATAGATCAACCTGAGAAGGCTGCTGTCTCAAACAGTGAGCCATGCTGTAAACCAGATTTATAGGATAAACCAGGAATAATTTGAAGACTTTAAATACTGCTGTGTAACAGCCAAAAACGTACAAGTGTTATCCTTTTGACCTCCACCAACTTCATCAAAGTTTGAGTTTCCCATGAATGGTAAAACTGTCTGATTAGCTACAGACATGTTGACATTATTTACGCTTTAACTTGATAACTTAAATTCATATTTAATTGACTCGTGTTAGTGGAAGACTGTGGCTCAGTGGATAGTATGATGGACTTCAAATCAGGGGATAGCAAGTTCGAGTCCCAGTGCAGTCGGCATGTCGTTGTGTCCCTGGGCAAGACACTTCACCCAAAATTGCTCCTGTGGGGATTGTCCACAGTACTGAATGTATGTAAGTTGCTTTGGATAAAAGCGTCTTACAAATGACATGTAATGTTGTATGCCTTTACATTATCTAAATATAACAACAACCTGTTATGTAAACAAACCAGCATTAGATGAACACAAACACACACATGCACATCTGTCTGCGTATGGGATGTTGATGAGAGACTCACCCAAGGCATCGTCCAGAGCAACAGTTTTCCTCTCCGAAGTCCTCGCACACCAGCAGGTTATCCCGGCTGCGGGCCCGGGGGCTGTCGCTGCAGACCGCCGGCCGGCTGCTGAGGGGCGGTCTGTGGTTCATCCTGGAGGAGATCCACAGTGGAGGGTCCTGGTTCATATGAAGCAGTCGTCAAGTGTCCGTGGCACACTCTGACTCTCCCATCTCCCCGTCGCCCTGCCCCCTCTACTTTTCCGTGTCCTTGAGAAAGAATGCATCCTTCTGGGTCCCACTATACTTTTATTTACATGACTTGTTGATCTATATACAGATGTGGAGGTCAGCTGATGCTACTGCTGATACATGGCTATTTTCACCAGTAGCCTTATTGTTTCAGCTTAATCAACTTTCTGATTAGTTTTTTTTGCTTTACTGATTTAAATGACTCCCTACATTAGTGTTGTGAATGTTGGCTCGTCTGCATGGTTGATAAACAAGAACAAGTGTATTCTGAAAATGTTGTGTGTTTCGGCAACGGTTTTGTATGCTAGGGCTGTAAAATGCTATTTTAAACCGCAGTGTTTAGAGAACATGTTGACGTGTGTGTGTGTGTCTGCCTGTCTGTCTGTCTGTCTGTCTGTCTGTCTGTCTGTCTGTCTGTCTGTCTGTCTGTCTGTCTGTCTGTCTGTCTGTCTGTCTGTCTGTCTGTCTGTCTGTCTGTCTGTCTGTGTGTGTGTGTGTGTGTGTGTGTGTGTGTGTGTGTGCGTGTGTGTGTGTGTGTGTGTGTGTGTGTGTGTGTGTGTGTGTGTGTGTGGGTGGACATGCATGCAGGAGTAACTGATGACTAATACACTGTAGATGAGGTTCCTCAGGGTTTATATTCCCATTAGACTTTGCTTCCTGTGTGCTTGACCAGTGTGGGAAAACAACTTCCCACCATGCACACACACGCTTAAAAGACACACGCAAACACAGAAACACGTACGTATACATATATTATACCCCAATGTGTTTGAGGTTATACATGCTTGGAATTTGAAGCAAGCAATTCAGTATCTATTTACAGTAGGCCCCACACTCTAAGATGAGTCCAGTATTTAGTCAAATGTGTTACCTCTCCCTCTCATTTCAAGCTGTTTCCACATAATACACCCCATTACATCACGCCGACATGCCAACATCCAAACATCTGATAAAGCAGAGCCCCTAATTTATGTTTGTATCCGTGACAATTTCCTTTTAAGGCCCTGATTGCTGAAGATAAGTCACTTTGGACGTTTAATGACGTTTAAGAACGTAACTTTTAACAAGGAGGATGGCAGGGTGAAAGGGGGTAAACTCTGACGAATGTCACGGTGTAAGTTTTTGTTAAGACTTCCTCCTCAGAACAGAACAGACCCCAGATCTGGATATAAACACTGTCAGCTCAAACATACACACTGTTATTGGGGGGGGGGGGGATGAGGGACAGGCAGCTGGATGGTCATGTTATGTCTGCCTGTTTTAGGGCCAGTGATTCTGCTGATAACACATTAGGAGCTCTGGCTCTTTGTGTGGTCCGGTATGTGTGTATTGGCAGGGTCAAACACACACAAAAACACACACAAGGCAAAGAAACACCGCACTCAAAGTCATGTTACATAATATTTTCAGTTAAACCAAAATGTAAGACTTCCAGATGACGCAGCTACAGAAAAGGTCATTGAAATCTAAAGGATTTTTTCTCTGGGGAGCAGGAATGGGATTGGGACATTTTGTGGCAGACTTACTCTCCACAATAAACAGACAGAGACAAAGTATCTGAACTAAACTACACAGGTTTAATCACAAGATAATAACACATTCTCCACACACTCCATTAAAGGGGCCATACTCTGCTCATTTTGAGGTTCATATTTGTATGTTCTGCCTCTACTGTGACATATTTACACGCTTTAATGTTCAAAAAGGTCTTTATTTTTCTCATACTGCCTGTGCTGCAGCACCTCTTTTCACCCTCGGTCTGAAACCAGAGCCCAGTCTGCTCTGATTGGTTGGCTGGCCGGATCTGTTGTGATTGGTCCACCGCTTTGAGATGTCCCGCCTCCTTTTCAGTCCATTTATATGCACAAAAACCTATATTTACACATATAACCAAAAAGCATAATAGGGCCTCTTTAAGAGACATTTATAGCACCACCTATTGGTAGAGGTCGGTATTTCACCAGCGTCTCACCTGCTGCTGCCAGTCACATCATAACTACTCAGTACAGATTTAATCAGCTTGAGATGCATTTAGAGTTGCTCCTTTTTATACTTACCCTCTATGATTTGTAATACAACAATATGGGTCTACACTTGAGGAGTTCTTCTTACCTTGGTATTGTTGTAATAATATATTGCAATATAATTTCAGGTATATTTGTCCCCAAGTTATTATCAGCTAAATGTTCTTACATTATCAAGTCAAATAACTCAATTGTAAACTCTTTTCACAATTGCAGGAACATAACAATATTATATTTTAATATTATATTTTCCTGTTTTAGTCAATAACAAATAAATGTCAGGGCATTTTATGTTGTAGTTTTTCAATGTGGAGCCAATTTTAGACACTTTTTAAAATACTGGTTTTGTATCTTTGTATAATATAGTACAGCACTGCATAACAACATGTAAGTATAAGTATATCACATGTTTTTATATGTCAAAAGAAACTAGTAACTCGTGTGAAATGATTGTAATGGAGTAAAAAGTGCAATAATTGCCTTTTAAAGAGAAGTAGTAGTACAAGTAGAAAGTAGAAAGAAAAATGGAAATACTCAAATAAAGTACAATTATGTTATTATTGAGTAAATGCACTTAGATACTTTCCACCGCTGATTTGACCTCAAGGGTTAAAGCAAATCCACCTTAAAGGGATATTTATAAAACAGTTCCTATGCTTACAATTACAAAAAGACAAATCATCCTTTCCTTCTTCCATTCCGATTTAATAAAAACATCAATTTGTATGAAGATGACTTTTACAATAACGTCCTTTCCTCCTGTGTTTCTCCTCTTCTCTGTTAATTATTGGTTGCAATCCTCCTGATCTTCATGGTGACAGATTTGATGGTGTGATGGACTCCGCTCTGCCTCCAGGTGTCCCACAGGATGTGCGTCCTCTGGCTCTGCTCAGCGTCCTCAGGGGAGCCGTTGAGGTTGGCCAGGCCGCACTGGTTGAACCACCATCCTGTGTTGTTGTGCTGAGCGCTGCAGCTCTCCACCGTGCGGTTATCGAAGGAGCAGGAGGGATTACAGCCGTCGTTGTCCACGTCCGAGGCGCTGAAAGGAGCCGTGTCCTGGTTCTCATCCTGGTCGTAGCCGCGAAACGCATCACCTGTAAGAAATAACACACAGGTAGATTCAAAGGTTTTATTGTCATATAATAATACACTTTATTTGTATATTACCTTTCATGCACAAAGCAGCCCAAAGTGGTTTACAGAAAACATGGCAACAATATTTAAATAATATTTAAAATAATACAGAACAAGATAAAACATCTACAGTGATAATGTGTTAAAATAAAACAATTTAAAAAAGAAAATGTAAAATAAATGACACACACCTTTTTACCTGTGCTGGACTATGGTGATTTGATCTATATGAATGCACCTGCCCATTGCCTGATCAAGTTAGATGCCGCCTATCACAGTGCGCTGAGATTTGTTACTAACTGTAAAGCACTTACTCATCACTGTACCCTGTATGCCAGGGCAAGTCTGCCTTCACTTACTTAATGAGGCTCAGTCATTGGTACTTGTTCATCTATAAAGCCATGCTGGGTAAACTACCACCTTACATCTGCTCACTGATATCACAGAGAGTCGCAAGTAGCTATTGCCTAAGATCCCAGGATGTGTTTTTATTACATGTGCCAAGTGCTAGGACTGTTTTAGGCACTAAAACTTTTATGTGCGCTGCTCCTCTAGCTTGGAACACTCTGCAAAACATTTTGAAACTGAGCATTTTGGTTCCCCTGCATCATTTTAAAGCTCGGCTGGATGAAATGATATTTGATACTCATGGTACCTGTCTTTGTGAATACGTTTGTAAATTGTACCGCTGTCATTATGTTGTATGTGTCCTTTTTGTTTTCTGTTAGGCTACAAAAAGCAAAACAGAAAAATACAGTAAAACATGGACAATGATACTAGTGACAATTGAAAGTTAACCCAAATGAAAAGCCATGTTAAAAAGACAGGTTTTTAATTTGCTTTTAAACATTTCAAGGGAGTTTGCTGTTCTAAGATATGCACAAAGCTACAGTGTAGAAATGGCAATGAAAATCTTAACAACCAACAATCCAACATATATAATAAAATACAAAATACAAAATAAAAAGTAGTGCAAAAAGTCTATATACATGCAAATAGAACATGATATGTATGCAGGTGTGCCCATGTTGAGGGTTACAGATATAGTTCATTTATCATTTGAGTTAAGAAAAGCACAAGATTTGTCACTTGCTTTTTGTAAGCTTTGATTTATAAAGTCTTACCTGCGCTTCCCGAATATCTGCCCAGGTGTATACAGAAAAACTGTGTTTCACTGTCCAGGTGGAAATCATCATATGAAGCATAAGAGGTGACGTCATCCTGCGACACCAAAGCGACGTGAAGCTGGAAGCGGGTCTCTTTCTGGTTTACTATATGAAACACCTTCTTCAGACCCAACCAGTGTTCCCCTAAACACACACACCAGAAAAATGACCGTTATTGCGATAATTGACAAGAGCAATATTCAATTCAATTATTTTGTATGTATTTATTGTTACTGAGCAAGACACTTTGCAGCAAGCCCATGAAAAATGTAAATTTCCACAAAATGTATAGCAAAAGAGACGTCTGCAATTGGAAATCAAAAAAAAATTCTGTGATATTTGAATTTGTAATGTAAGTATAACTCTAGCTTAGTGTTTATACTTTGATTTAGTCAGGTGTGGGATCTGCATTACTGTTGTTATTGAGCAGTCGGCTGGCACACCTGGAGTACATAAACTGTTGTTTCTAGCATCTCAACCTCCACCTAAGGCTTATTTAATTCTTAAAATAGGAAATATGCTTTTCACACTGTCTAAATTAAGTTAATACAACCTGCAAGATGTCCAAAGCCATCAGCATAATCCGCCCAGGGTCGTTTGAAGTCCGTTAATCCATCAGTCCTCCGCTGCATCACCGTCCATCCGCCCCCCATGTAGTCCATCTCACAGAAAACCTGCAGCACATTTTGTTGTTTAAGCTGTGACTGAGGAACTGTGAAGGACTGAAGTATGAGAGACGTCTACCTCAAAAGAAGAGTCTGTATTCTCCGGGTGGACGATGTAAATACCGCTCGGGATCTTGGGCACAACTGACATAAGATTGTCCTTGATGTCACTGCAGTCCCGTCCTAATTAAAGCAAACACACTCTTCTGTCATCAGGAAGTAGAAATTACATTCACATAAGGATGAACCTGTGGATTTATTTTGTAAACCATGTATCTGGTGTTAAGATCTTTCAGATATATTAATGATTAAATGTTTCTCAGTGTTGGGAGTTTTCAATTACTTCTTAGACAAGTGAAAACCTGAAATAGAGCGTGTCATGTTGTCATGAAAAGTTGACATTTCGTAGAGGTTAAAGGTCACCTATTATGCAAAATCCACTTTTTCATGTCTTTTATACATAAACATGTGTCCCCTCTGTGTAAAGAGATTCTCTCTCTTTTTCTCCTGATCCATTTATATAAAAACCTGTCTGAAAATGAGCTGATCAGAGACATGTTTTTTATATATCTGAGAACTTTAATATATTGTTGGAAAAGAGAATAATAGGGGACCTTTAAAGTCACAATGTTACGCATTAATGTCAGTGTTCTCATCATGAGGATGTTCTCCAAAACTAAGGGCCATGCCATTGCTCATTATAGAATACATAGATTAGATAATTAGAAGTGTCATGGCTTGTGTTCTTGTGTGATTTACCGTGGGATTGCACAGGTTTGATGGAGTACATCTCCGTGTTGCTTCTCTGAACCTCAGAGTTGAGCGTCTGCACTTTGGTCGTCAGCTCTGTGACCTGGAGATGTGACACTGCTATACATGAACCAGCCAATGAGACGCTTAGAAACTATGTGACTAAGAGAGAAAAGGAGGACTCCATTTTACCTGACTGCTGAGGATGTCCAGAGCCCTCTGCTGCTCCTCCATCACGTCTCTGATCAGCTTCCGGGTGCTGCGTCCAAACGCCAACAGAGTCTGCTGTAACTGGCCTACACACACACACACACACACACACACACACACACACACACACACACACACACACACACACACACACACACACACACACACACACACCACACACACACACACACACACACACACACACACACACACACACACACACACACACACACACACACACACACACACACACACACACACACACACACACACACACACACACACACACACACACACACACACACACACACACACACACACACACGTTCTGAACAACGATGACGATGATAGAGGAAACAATAACACAAGGAAATATTATTATTTTTTCACCACAGATCGAATGTTTCTCATCTCGTAGCAGCTTGACAGTGATGTCACACGGGATGGAGCACGTGTCCCGACCTTTGACCCCTCCAGCAACTTTCTGGCCTTTCACAGGAGCATCAGAGAAGTCTTCATCGACTATGTCTGATTCGTTAAAATTGGCACTGTTTCCCGTCTCCTGGAAATCAAGACAGAACAGTGAGAGATGAATACACGGGGGTAAGTCTGTACTTAAATCATGCATCATGTTGTAAATAGCATGTGATGTCTGACACAAAGTCCTGATTAGCTTCTAGATCTAATACTGACCTCTCTGCCATGTGTGCAAATTATTAAATCTCATCTGGGATCAACAAAGTTTAGATGTGACATCCTGGTTGGCTACACACAAACACACTGTAAAAGCAATTCCTGTCTTCAAATCCTGAAATACAAATGAAATAGTCTCATATTTTACTTGAGAAGGGCTTTAATGTTCTTCTCTGTACTTGCACAATTTTCATGTAATACTACTTGAGACTTAAACACAGCTTATTTAGAGGGAAAATGCATCTGGCAAATAGAGTAAATATTATTTTGTAACATTTTGCAGTGTTTTTTACTTTTAATAAAACACAAATGATAAGCTTCTGAATCTTGTTTCAAGAATATTTATAATGTTCTCATTATTCTAATGCGGCAACTACTCTTTCATCTTTCAATATGCAGGCACTCAGGAAGGTGTTGGTTTTTAAGGTAATACTGTTTTTTTAGTTTTAAGTGTAATATAGTTACAATCGGCTTCACCTAAAAAAACACCACAAACAGTCTGCACTCATCTATGCACAAGTTGTGAAAATCCAATGTTATATGTACAGTTTTTTATATTAAAAATCATTATACTTAATATTTGTTAATATTTATTTCCTTTTACTTAAATAATAATTTCAGTGCAGGACTTTTTAATTAAGTCTGACAATTAAGTGTTTTTATATTGAAATATGATCTGAATACTTAAGTTTAAACCTATTTTCCATAAACACACTATTTTGATGACTAGTGTAATGTTTAAAAAAAACAGAAAAAGTTTAAGAAATAATAATGATTCATCATCTAGTTATAACGCCTACCTCTAAACCCTTGGATTACACCAGGATTTGTTAGGTAAAAGTCATCTGCAAAAGACCCAATAATTCCTGCTGACTGTGCAAAGTTGAACATATTAATGACATGCATCTCATACATACTGTGGAGGAAAGCAGATGAGGCACAAGCAGCAGGAGGACAGTTGTTGTCCACATCATGTCGTCTGACTTTGATTATTCCCACTCCGTCAGCAACAGCCTCTCTCTTTCATATGCTTTATTTTTCCACAGAGTCTGCTATTTCCCCTCTCATGTCCTCCTTTCTACCAAGAGTTCTCAACATCTGCTCCTTCCTCTCAGTTGTCAAACTTCTCCCTGACTGCCTCCCTCTTGCCACCTCCATCAGTCACTCCCACTTTTTCTCGTAAACTCCCATGACAACATCCCTTGTAAATAACAGGTCAGATTTGTAAACGAGTTGGTGATAAAAGTCTGGATATATTTCTGACAAGCAGCTCAAATGTGCTGATTCAAGATTTGTGGTACAGGGTTATTACCTCCCCCCTCAGTGATGTTATTTTACAGGTTATATCCTGCCACCCGCATGAGAAACAGATGTGGGGAAAGGGAAATGGGCAGCTTGTTTAATAGTAGGAACACTTTCTCTCTACTTGTGTCTTTGCATGGGAGCTGAAGGCATGGGGTGCGGTGACGGCAGGGTGCCTCTGTGCTCATATTTCCCCCCCCCTCTTCTGTCTTTGACCACTGACTCATACATCTGAAAACAGCCTCCTACAGGGTCAGACCAATGACTTCTGTTAACTGGGCAGTTAAGCAGAGAGGAGAGTGAAAAGAGCAAAAGCACATTCCTGTCAGAGTCCAGCTGGAGCCGGCCGGCCTGTCGCTTCCCTGGAAAACTTTGCAGTGGGAGCCAAAGAAAAGATGTGCTGTTGTTCTGAACCTGTGTTAGTTTACAGCCATGGTCAGTGAGAGGAATGTGAAAAGCCTGGTGCGGCAGCCTCAGGGCCCCCCACATCTGTCCCATGTTACATGCTCTTGTAAAGCACTCTGCATGTGAATGACACATTATATCTGCCAGGCGAGATAATGAGATCATATATACTCGACTTCAGTGCTTCTGCTTAGGTAGGAAAAAGTTGGAAAAAGTTGAATAAATAAATAGTTTGATATACTTGAAATAACGTTTTTTGTACTGTTATGTCTAAATCTGCCTCTAATGTAAAGAAAACTTAGCTAAGTATAAAGACTTGAAGCAGGGAACAGCTATCCTTTCTCAAGCTAACCACATCTGCCTTCCAACATCTCTAAACGTCAATCAGTAAAACAACTAGGTTTAAGAAAGACACATTGTGGTTTTCCAAGGTAATGTGAAGTGCTAACTGTTTCTGGTCTTTATGCTATGCTAAAATAACCAGCTTCCTATTCACATATCAGAGAAGTGTCAATAAAAGCAGATAAGTTTCCCAAAAAGTGTAATGAATGCACCTTCCAACCAGCAGCTTTATAGCTCACTAATTAACACCTTCATTATGGTCTGTCCCTGCACGTTAATCCCTGTCAAACACCTTGTAATTTTTATACTATGGGATTTTGTACGTTTAAGGGAGCATGCAGTAAGACAGACGGCTGGCCTTTGATCTCAATGTGGGTTGCGTTTTTTACAAAAATAAATGAAATAAAAGTCACTTTAATTGAAGTCAGTGTATATTCGTATAATATATAATAATACATTCGTATCAATAATAACTTTCGCTAAGAGAGAGAGAGGTGGAGCTGCTGCACTGGCCAGCCGTCCAGAAGTTTATTTTCCATGAACAATGTTTACCAAAATTAAGCAAATGTATATTTTTCTAATCCTAGATGTGTATTTTAACCAGCGACAGACCAATAATGTGTTATGTGAATTTGGCACCATCGCACTGTTCGACTGTGGAGCCATTAACTAGATTCCACAAGAACAGATTACCAAATGTATGCAAACACATAAGTGTCGTAGTATAACCAACAGGAGACCATCAATGTATTAAGTGTTATTGGTAGCACTTAACTGTATAACAGTGGAACATTGAATATTTCCAAAATGATGAAAATGCATTAATACCTTCAAGAGCCAGTAGGGGAACTGTTAGAATATGTGTGAATTGATTTTGGTAGAACTTTACCTTTATGACATTGAAGTTGTATAGTATTTTTGCATTATGATCTTTTGGTGTTGACCGGCGGTCTTCGGCGGTCTTCTCTCCATCAATATTCTTCCAACGTTACCCAACAAGGAAAGCCCTCATCACGCCCTCCATAGTCTTATTAATATAGGCTCTGAGATGGCATTAAAGCCTGTCTCACGATATGTCAAAGCATTTATCTACCATCAACTGTCTTTTACCAGAGGGGGCTTTTGTTTTGAAAATACTTCTGAGAGTTTGCAGTAAAGTAATGACAAACAATATGCCTCACAGGTGTGAAGGTATTACAGTGCCATCTGCTGCGCTCTGGTTTGTATTACATTACAACTGTGTTCATATTGAACTGTTGCTATTGTCAATGATAATCCACCACACAGAAACAATTGATCATATCGGTACAAATAATAAGTATAGCTAATGATGACTGGACCTCATGTATAAAAGCATGTCTTACAGTGTGACATGCTCAAAAGGACAGTCCTTATACATTTATTTAGCTATATGATATAATACCTAGAAATGATACTATTCCAATTATTTTGAATAAACTTAATAAAATAATTGGTGCTAACTTGCCCATATTTGTGAAAAGTATTTTTGATTAATGGGGTTGGAAGAATTCATTTTACAAACATATTTTAATACCATTTGACACGGGGACTGTGCAATATATATATATATATTTATATACCATAAATATTTGTGCAATATATATACTTCCACCTTTAATACTTTCACCTGGCTGCTATATCTCAAAACTGTTACTGGTACTGGATGTGTATTTAGTAAATTGTACATTTCTACTTTAATTTTGTATACTTAATTATATTAAGCTATCTTTGTCTCTTTACTTGCTTTAACGATGTTCCCCTCTGTGGGACGAATAAAGGTATTCTGATTCATTGTTGTGAAAAAAACAGCAGCTTTTTTATTGAAAACTCTTAATTTTCAATTGCTTCAATATCATTCATGTGAAATCTTGACTAGTTATCCTCTGTTATATTATAACATATAATACAAATATATCCTCATATCAAATACATTTTCATTGTAATTTGATCGTTAATAAAACACTGTTTTTGACAAATAACTAATTTTAAAAAGTCTGCGGCGTCCTGTGTGATTATGGTGTATTTACTCTGGTGGATTATAATGACGCAATTATTGAATTAGTTGTTGGATAGCAGTGGTGTAAAATACATTTAAGTATTTTTCTTAAGTATAATTTCGAGTGACTTGTACTTTACTTGAGTATTTCCATTTTATGCTCCTTTGTATTTTTTTCTCCACTACAATTCAGAGGTATATCGTGTACTGTTACTCCACTACATTAAATACCTTTAGTTACTTTGCAGATTCTGATTAATGATTTGAATTGTACTCAACACTAAAATAAGACTTTAGTTACACCTGGAGTAAATTCACAAACTATACCGTGTCATTCAAACTAGCTGCACCTTTAACAGCTTTGATAAACACATTAATGAATCAATAATTATAATCAAAACATATAATATATATTATTCTGAAATGGACCAATCTGCATAATGGGTACTTTTACTTTTGGCACTTTAAGTATATTTTGATGCCAATGCGTTTCTACTTTTACTTGAGTAACATTTTGAATGAAATACTTTTACTTGTAACAGAGTATTACTCTGGTACTTCTACCTTTACTTAAGTACAATATCTTGAGTACTTCTCCCACCTCTATTGGACAGGAACCCCAGTCCAGTCAGAGCCTTTGGATCAGTCCACAGTGTGCGTGTCTTCCACAGTGCGCGTGTCTCTAGCAGTGCGCGTATCTTCCAGCAGTGCGCGTGTCTCCCAGCAGTGCGCGTGTCTTCCAGCAGAGGGCAGGCCGCTGCGGCTCCGGCTGGCTCGGCCTCATCAGGGGCGGATGTTTTCTCAGCACAACTTCCCAACCACCCCTCCCCAACCCCCCAAAACCAGACCAGACCCAGGCCCCAAAAAGTCTAATTTCCCCTCTCAAGTGTTTCATCTTTGGTTGTCTGTCACCTCTTGGCCCTCCGCCTCTTTCCTCACAGGGGGTAAACCGCATTAACTTAAAAGGCTGCAAGGAGGGGAATTAAAACCTTGCCAAAGACTTTGAGTTTACTCTAATATCACTGATTTCCTTGCATTTACAACGAGTAAAGACACTTGCTTGTGTTGCAGTTGGAGCTGTGGATAAATCGATTGTACAACCTGTTTTCTACGCCTTGTGTTGATGGTTTATGTCAGAGTAAAATATTTCCCCTGCAACTGCGGCAGCTTTAAACCCTACAACCCCGCCCCTCAGCACTATCACATGAATCTGGACTCAACAGTGGATGTGAAAAAAGTTTGGAGGTCTCGCTGAAATCACTTTCTCAAACTAGTTTCATATTTATGTGTGGTTTTTTTCACTTTGGAGAGACTTTTAGATCAAAGTTTGCCTCGGAAATTAATATCCGTCTGAGTGTTTTCCCGGCTGTGATTTCTCCTATTTTATTTTTCCCTGCAGGAATACGGAGAGAGAGAGAGGGGGGAAACGGTCTGGCTGCTTGAAGGTATGTGGGAGGCATGTAACGTGTTGTGCGCTGCTGAGATTTACTTTGGTCAGCGATCACTGCTTGTAATGTATCTCCTTCGACTTCTTTACCCGAGTATTTGGCGTCTTTTCACAGCTGATTGACTTTCGAATAGTGAGAGTTTGAAACAGACAAGGACACAAAAGTTCAAATGGGGTGGGGGTGGGGGGGTTTAAAAGTGTAAACAAATCCGATCAAAACTCCTGCACTCAGGCGCATGTAGTATTATCCGGGCCTTGCGTTTATTCTAATGTCATTGTATTGTAACTTTTCGACAGATTTGTTTCGACACCGAAACTTGGCGACATGGACGCGCACCGCGGCGTGCCTGCGGCCGGGCAGCAGATCGTGCACGTCCGCGGGGACTCGCAGACGGAGCTCGAGGCCCTGTTCAACGCCGTGATGAACCCCAGCGAGTCCGTCCGACAGCCGCCCTCTCTGCCCATGAGGATGAGGAAACTCCCGGACTCCTTCTTCAGGCAGCCGGACTCCCGAGGCCACTCCAGACAAGTACTAAAACACTGCTGCAAAAAGTAAAAGTAGAAGTACTTGAGAGTAGGAATACTCTGTTACAAGTAAAAGTACTGCATTCAAAAGGTTACTCAAATAAAAGTAGAACAAGTATTGGCATCAAAGATATAGTTAAAGTAGTCATTCTGCAAATTGGTCCAATTCTGAATAATATAATTTGTTTTCACTTTAATTAATGATGCTTTAAAGTGTTATCAAAGCTGGTAAAGGTGCAGCTAGTTTTAATGACTTTGTATGCTGCAGGGTAGATTGTGAATTTACTCCAGGTGTAACTAAAGTCTGATTTAAATTTGAATTATATTTCCCATCATTAATCCCAATCTGTAAAGTAACTAACCGGTCTGAAATAAATATAGTGCAGTATTAGTACATGATTTACCTCTGAATTGTAGTAGAGTAGAAGTACAAAGTAGTATAACATTGAAATACTCAATTAAAGTACAAGTCTCTCAAAATTGTACTTAAGTACAGTACTTGAGTAAATGTACTAAGTTACTTCCCACCAATGCCACTAATAAGTACATTAAGTAAAGACAGTAGCCATCATTAAACACTGAGAAACCAGAACAATGCAATACAACCCAATACTACCTGTTGCGTGACATTAGTAAGTTGTTGCGTTGCATAATAATGCAATTAAAAAGATGGTTTCATTATTATTTTTCCCATCTCCATTCTCATATCTCAGGGACAAACTATTAATAGCACTAAATTGGTCATGTAGTTAATATAAATAATAGACCATCTTTTAAATCAGGAGTACATCTATAATAATTTTACTATAATTGTTTGTTTGGTTTATATAATAGTGGGAATAAAATAATGACCATCAGGCTAATATTTCCCACAGTGCAGGGTGAGGTGTTCAAGTGTCCTGGGTTTTATAAGACCAACAGGCCAGATGTATTTTACCCACTATCATGTAAGCAGAAAACCAAAAACTGTGAGACTCTTGCTCTAGTTAATTTGTATTATTAAATATTAGCATTACAAATAACTAAAACAATAATCTGACCAGCAAAAGATTGTGGTATAAACCATTTCGATTCTGGCTCCCGTCATTTGTTTCATGACCAGCAAACAGACCTTGAATCTCTGAGAGATTAAGATGTGGCTCAAACACTTTACCCCCTAAAATGTGTCAAATTCAATCAACACTAAAACTGGTAAACTATTCACTGATCTGTTTTTCCATTTTCAAAAAGAACAGTCGGTGAAACTTCTTAGTAGTAATTTAACCCTATTTGAGAGTAAGGCAGCCAGTTTCACTGTTCTTCCTCTCAGTGTTTGTTTCACCTTGGCTCTCTCTGGTTACCATCCAAATCTTTTCTTCCTGCTGGTTTATGTTTCTGATTGTGGTTTGTAGTCTTGGGAGTTGTTAACCCTGCTTGTTTCTCGTCAGGCCAGTTCAGATGGAGGTGTGTGCGGCTCCCTCACTCTTCATCAGCACGGCCGCTCCCATTCCTCCCCGGCCTCCCTCCCACTCAACTCGCTCTCCACTCAAGCAGCAGATGTAGCGGCGGCGGCAGCGGCGGCGGCGGCAGCACTCATACCTGACGACATGCCACTCCCCCACGGTTGGGAAATGGCCAAAACGCCCACTGGCCAACGTTATTTCCTCAAGTAAGGTCTAACTTCTGTTTATCAACGTGTTTGATCTGCCGCACTGCGGGTTACCTGAAGTGATTTCTGTTTAGACAGAAGCAAAGTGTCAGCTCCACCTTGTTCTAAAATCTGCATTTCCTCATCGGCACTTACCTGGTACACGGATGCAACTCATTATTATTTTTAGTGCATAATAAATAGTAACATTACCCCTCACATTTCCCCAAAGCTCAGAGAGATTGCTTTAAATTGCTTGCTGATTGTCCATAAATGAATGATGAGAAAAGCATCACATCTTCACTTAATGAGAACAAAGTAGCAGCACATTTTCACTTGATATATGACTTAATAAAGATGATTCATATAATCTGTATTCTATCTGGAGCATCAAGCTATTTAAAAATCCCCAGGAGGAGTATCTTCCTGTTATAGAAAATATCCTGGATTCAAGCTGATCAGGTGCATGCAAACAGAAAGTGCTTGCAACTAGTTCTGCAAGCTGTGTGGTTTCAGTCAGTTTTATTCATGAGCACGTGGAGAGCTCCCTCCTGTCAAAGGCTACAGGTAGTACAGGTAAAGCAGGTCCGAGGTTAAAATGTGTCTTGCGCTTCTTATCCATCAGGTTGCAGATGCAGACATGTTGAAACTTGTTGTATGTTCACAGTCACGTGGATAAGACAACCACTTGGCAGGACCCTCGAATCGCGCAGCTTCAGTTGGCTGCAGCTCAGCATCCCATCTCCGGCACTCCGATCCACGCCCACTCCCTCAGCAACCCTGCTCCCACTACGCTACAGCAGAACATCAATCCAGAGACAGGTAGCACTCTGCTCTCCTCCCCACTCTCACCCTCCAGTTTCTCTTCAAAGCACAAACCTTCTTTTCAGTGTTTAACCCCATCATCTGGGGCCTGGTCTTTGCTGGGTGTGTTTTCTTCCGGATTTCCCTTTTTGGTGTCTGCATTCATTGCTCTGGTGACTTTGGTGGGAATTATATAAATCGTACTGCAGATTAAAGCCTAGGTTTAACTAATAATGCTATGAAATGAGAGATCAGAATCTCAGACTCTCTTGATAATATATGAGAGTGCTGCAGTAAATTGAATGGACTCATAAATCTCCCTTTTCTTATTTTGAAGCAGGTTGTATAGCTTGGTAAATGGTTGTTGTCTTTCCGCTCTTGTCATTTGTCTTTTTAGTGTTTATTTGAGTTTTGCTTTCATAAAAACCGAAACAGAGAGAGCGAATACAAAGAAACCAATGCCAATACATTATTGAAGGCAAGTTGAATACAAGGAAGTATTTTCAAAACAATTTAACAGTCACTCTGGACAACCCACAGACTTTGCTGTGACCAGTTTCATTGAAACGACTTTCTACTAAAGTAATGCAAACTTTTTATAATGTGTGCAATTTATAATTATTATAAATAAACTGTGGATTATCCAGAATAATATGGCCAGTAGATCGGTAACAAGATGTTGCATATATTAATAGACCCTTCAAGGGCAAAACAAATCACATTTGGAATCCCTCTTTCTTTTTCACTGAGAACGAAGTCATTGATTTACTGTGGTGTTTACTCTCTGCCACCCTCTGCATTTAGGCAAGATGCACATAGCTTGGTACACTTTTACCCTACAGAACATCATACTGTCGCTATTTACCCACTAACCTTCACTTCTATTAATTATAAAACCTCTGCAGACTAAAAGCTGCACAAACCTTTAAGGACGTGGGCCAGATTTTTTGACTTTTCTACTTTCACACGCCATTCACTCCATCCACCATTTGCCTTCTCACTGTGTACTTTCACTGCTGTTCAGGTCCACTGCCTGAAGGCTGGGAGAAGGCTGTGACTGCAGATGGAGAGGTGTACTACATCGATCACATAAATACGACCACCACATGGGTCGTCCCGCGTCTAGGTAGCACACTATCAAACTTGTGTCTCCTGAATTGACAATTCTTGTTTGTCAATGAGAAGCATTTTGTTCCAATGCCCAACCATCACAAGTTGGCAACCAAAATAAGAAAGAACCCAACGTTTTCACAAGTTTACCTGAAATGTATAAACCTGTGGAAAAGTTTACTTAATTTTTAAATGTTCTTCTTCTATGACTTTTATGTTCCAGCCCAGAAGATGATCCCTGGTCTCCATGGTTTGGCACTGCAGCAGAGGCAGGAAAAGGAAAGGCTCAGATGCAAACAAGGCCTGCCTCCACAACACACACAGGTCAGAAATAAAATAAGCATACTTGGATGTGCCATTGCACTGCATTCTAAAACTCACAACACAAGCAGCCTTAAAGGTCACCTATTATGCAAAATCCACTTTTTAATGTCTTTTCTACATAAACATGTGTCTCCTCTGTGTAAAGAGACTCTGAAAGTTTCAGGAAAAAAGATTTGCTCACTTTTTGTCCTGATTCATTTATATAAAAACCTGTCTGAAAATGAGCTGATCAGATTTACATTACATTACATTACATGTCACTTGTTAGACGCTTTAATCCAAAGCGACTTACATATTCAATACTGTGGGCAATCCCCACAGGAGCAATTTGGGGTGAAGTGTCTTGCCCAGGGACACAACGACATGCTGACTGCAGTGGGGTTTGAACCTGTGACCCCCTGCTCCGAACACCAACGCACAACCCACTGTACCACATGCCTCCATTTAGGCCACTTTATGATGTCATAACGATTTTTTGGCTTGTGTAACCATTAGCCAATAACCAACCAAGGTAACCCCGCCCACCTTATCACCTGAATCTCCTCCTAAAGCACCATTGTGTTCTTTTTAACCAAATATCTCTCAGAGGGGCGTGGGGAGGGGCTCCTTATTTTTCATCTAAAGTAACAGACAGAGAATCAGCACTTTTGGAACAGGGCTGAAACAGAGGGGATTATGGGATGCTGCAATGATCGGTTTGGTATTTGGAGCCAAACACTTCAGAGACATGTTTTGTATATATCTGAGACCTATTATATATTGATGAAAAACAGTATAATAGGGGACCTTTAATTATTGTTATTCATTGTGTAATATCATTGTATTTAGATATATTTAGTTCAGAGTTTACAGTAATTAAGTGACCAATTAATTTACAGTTTGAGTTTTACATGCATATGTGTTTGTTTGTGATGTAGGAGGCAGGAGGAAGGAACCAGATGCCCGGTGGGATGGACCATGACAGGAACGCACTAACACTTGTCCCATCTCTGGATGTCAGGATCAGATCCTCAAACCACGAACCAACACTCAATGGGTGAGTGCATGTTCACTTGTATTGCCGTGTACTGAAGATCTCCTTTTATTGTATTGTAGTAATAGTCACAGAGGTGTGTTCATAAAGGGAAGAAAGTAGGAAAGGTATTCATATGCATTTCTTTAAGTAAAAGCAATTACAGTGTAGAAATAATCAGTGAAAAGCTAAATAATGGTTACCTAATTGTAATATTTATATCACTCTCAATGCCAAAAGTCTGCTGAAAATGATTGATGTTTTGTAAAGAATAGCCTATGAGACCTTTAAAATCAGTGTACGTGAATTGTCCATTCAGTGTTTTTGATAGTCTTTTCAGGTATTTTAACACATGATGATCGGATTTAAATGAATGTGTGTGTTCTTGTGCAGTGCTCACTCTCGTAATGAGAGCACCGACAGCGGCCTGAGCGTCAGCAGCTTACCCCGCAACTCAGACCACATGCTGAGCTCTGTGGATCACATGGACACTGGTAATGCACACACACACAAACACACCAAAGTCAGAAGGATGGTATTGTGGTTTCCAAAGTGGAAAGTAATTCCCTCGAGATCCATTTATATGTGTTTGTATTTTTACCTGAACCAAAGCTATGATAAATATAGAGTCCCGATGTGATATCTGTTGAATCTTAATCTATATGACAACCATAGGAAGCGATTTATTTGGGACCTTTTAGTGAATTTGTTTCAACTTTAGTCGTCATAGTTGCCTAATTAGCTGTAATACTTATATCGTTTATCTTAGAACTAAGAACATGGGCGTGTTTTTGAAATTGGTTTGTGAAATCAGGCTTGTGCACATGCCTTCCAGTAGTAAATGGCATAAACTATATTTCCCATATCGATAACTTTTATAAAGACAATGCAGAATAATACAATTTTAATTAAAGAAAAGCAATGACATTTGAGGGCACAGATCTTGGTAAAATAACGTTTCATGATATGACTCCTTTAAACAGAAGTATGAAATGGCAAACATTAATCATACACATTATTTTTATGCACATACACTTTTCTTGGAATACAGTTTAAACACACTGGCAGAGATGGCAAAAGTACACACATCCTTTACTCAAGTTGAAGTACAGATACTCGTGTTTAAATATACTCTGGTAAAAGTAGAAGTACTGACTAAACTTATTCACTCAAGTAAAAGTAAAGAAGTATGGGCTTTGAAACGTACTTAAGTAAAAAGTACCCATAACTACCAGCTGTTTTAAAGAGTACCTGACCTCCCTTTATATTAATAGAACAATAATGTCATTGTTAGCTAATGAATGTTTCCATGCTGAACAACGGCAACATGACAACGTTTTCATTGGTCCCTCTTCTTTAGAGAAGACCAGGAAATGATGGATACACGGATCGTGTTCAAATCAATAGGCACGCAATAACTCTGAATAATAATGATCACGCCACCAAACACACATTCAAACTAAAGTAACCAACCTGTTTTGAAATGTAAGAAGTAGAAAGTACAGGTATTTGTGTTAAAAATGTAAGAAGTAAAAAGTCGTAAAGTACTGATACCAGAAAAATGTACTTAAGTACAGTAACAAAGTATTTGTACTCCACTACTTACCACCTCTGCACACTGGTCTACATTAATCTGTATTAAAGAGAGACCCTTCCAAATTCTCTCTGCTCAACACTAATATTCAAATGATTGTTTAAATGTTATTCCTCTTCTCTGACTTCTTCCAGGTGACTCAGTGGAGACCTCCTCGATGTCCTTACAGGATTCGATGCCTGTGCTCCCGATGTCCGATGGCGAGGAGCTGATGCCGTGCATCCCAGAGGGTCTCAGTTCAGACCTCCTGATGGACATGGAGACAGTTCTCTCCGGGTCGCACATGGACAGAGACAGCCTGCTCACCTGGCTATAGACACACCCAGCCAACACCCAACAATCATCAGATCTTCATGACATGACGGAGAATTTTGGAGAATCTTCAAAAGTGGTACAGACCAAGGTCACTGAGAGAGTATGCTACTGCTGTGTGATGGATCCCTAACACTCCTCGCACCCTGAGGAAAGACAAAGCCTGACTCTCGCAGACGGTGGTAAGCTGCTGGTGTTTTCCTCTTTTCGGGCCTTGGTCTTACGGAGATGCATGAAGGAGCATCCATATTTTTACAACGCTCTTTCCTTTTAGTCATCGGCCTCAAATGATGCTCCCCGCGTCTCTTGTAAAGTGCGTCACAGCTTATTTTAGAGTGCAGTTATCTTTTATTATCCCCACTTGGGTGATTGAGTTTGCAGTAAACTTTTAAAAACACAGTGTCAAGTCAATAAAGTCTTCATGTAGCATTTACATAAATGCAAGAAAGACTTGTTCAAATAGCATTAAAGTTGTTTTAAAGGATATCATATCCACATTGCCCGTTGTTACCTCATTTAGCTTGTGGGATAAAAAGAGCAACATCTAGTGCTACTACCTCTAAGCAGCCTAATACTTTATGCTCACAGTCCAAAACATGTTGTTAAGAAGCATCAGGACTGAGAGCAAGAGATCAATCAAAGAAGTTATTATGATTTACACTACATTGGTTCCATAAAACCAAAAATGTCTGCTCTTATAATCAAAGCTCACACTATCACTGCTTCACATAAACATCAGGGTGAGAGGACGCACCCTTGTGGTGAGCCAGTAGAAGATCAAGAACACTAATAGAGATTTTACTCACAGACTTTAAGTTAAAATGCTCACAAACCGAAAAACAGTATTAAAACCAGAGTCACTACGAAGTCTGTGTGGAATATCGGAGGAGTTTTTTTGTAATTACTATATGATGATAAGCTTTATCTGAGGTCACAGTGGAGACTTCGTTCCTAACTAATCAAAACCTGTTAAAAGCCTTCACATTAAGAGAAATGAAGGCGACAGCAGGAGATGAAGTCTTAACTATTGGCACTAAAACTGCAGCCAAGTGTGTTTTGAGGACTTTTTTTTATAGAAAGGAATGCTGGAATGAGGATGTCTACAATTAATGAACACATGTTCAGTATAATGCAATCCAACAACAATACGGGGTTTTCCCCAGGAAACTGTTATCCTGACGCATCTGGTCCTCTGGTTAATTTAAATAGTAAATAATAGCCCAAACCAAAGCCAGACTTTGCTGTGGGAAATTGCTCAGCTCTTTATTTTTATTTCATTAAGGGTGGGGTAGGTAGTTTTGGAGAAACCAGCTCGAGTGCGCTAGAATTTGAAAATACACAGCCGGAACAAATCTGCCACTTCCTTACAGAGCCCCTCCTCCAACACACACGAACGCGCACATGACCAATGAGGGCACGAGATAAGTTTGTGCACAGATGGAAAGCTGACAGGCAGGTAGGCCATCCAGTTATTTTAGCCGGGCCGGCTCAGATGATTGGTCGTGCTTTTTACAGTACTACGGCTTCCACAGATGATTTTTTGTCAAAGCACTTAAGATATTCATTGCTATCGGGATGTTAAGAGCATTAATATAACAAAAAGTGTATCTCGAGTCGGTTTCTCAAACTTACCTACCCCACCTTTAAAGTCTGTTCTGCATTCTAAATTACTGCAGACAAAATCACAATTGTTTAAGTAACTAATATTTAGGTTGTCTTAGTGTTTGATGAATTGGTTTGCATTTTATTTTAAAGTGTTTTAGTCATTGTTTCCCACTCCAGCATTAAATATAAGCTCCACAAAGGTAGTATTTATTGGCGATTAGATGTATTGGATTGCATGATATTGTACAGTTGTACAATTATTATGTCCACCCTTTGTTTAAGAAACGAAGCCACAAAGTTGCCATAAGGGCAAGGACACTATCTCTCCTTAGTGTGCAGCAGATATTGTATCTCTCCTGAAACATAAATGGAAATTATTCTATCAATACTTCTTCTCACTTTTTCCAATAATAGCTTTATACATTTCTAATCATTTACCTTTCCATATTTTATCTATTTTTCCAGTCATAGGTTTTCAACAGAAAGACATAACACAAGTAACCATCTCAGCCATATTTGAAAACTTTTATCTAATTAAGTCAAATACTTTTTCCATTTATTACCAAAATTCAGTTAGCTGACTCCTAAAACTTGCTTGACTCACATATTAACTCGATGTGTTTTTGGTGGATCACAGTACAGTCATCCATTATACGAAACATAACTTGTCTGAAGAGTAATATAAATGAAAATGAGAATAGTACAATATTACAATCATATTTTTCAGGGAAATACAATCTTTCATTTGAACCCATTAATGGGTGTAAAGGTACACCGTAACACTGTAAAATCCCTCACATGTACAGTAAATAACTCTTAACTAGTTCAAAAGTCAGTTACTGGTAAGGAATTGCACTACCGAAGCACACTAAAAGATTCTGCTATTACATATCCAGATTGTTTGAACATATATGGATAAGAATCCTGAAACAATATCGAATACATTCAAGTTTCTAAAGTAGAGCAACATCGCAGCAATGTACAATGTTTTTGATTTGTTGTAAATACACTAAAACGTGCAAAATCCTGTAATAATCAGTACCATTAAGATATGAATTTGCTACCACACTATAGAGTTATAATTTCCTCTGTCCATGGCTGACGTTTTCCACTCTTAAGACTTGTTTTGTAAGTGGGAATGATGCAAATATGTGCAACATACTAATTGTGGATGCTGTGTTCTTGGTATATTTTTGTTTTAACTGCAAGAGCTCTCTGGTGCTGTAATACAGAAGGCAATCATTAAAAAGGGGAGCTCTTGAATTCTCCTCTTTTAGTTACTACTACTACTATATAAGAAAGTATATAATCTGTGTCTTTACCCGCTGGGTTGTTTCTGCAGTGTGTTTTATATTTTACCTAAATTGGAAGCTGTTAACAATTGGTGAGAGTGTTTCTTCTAACCAGCTTCTTTTTTACATTAAACAGTATTTAGAGGTGGAGACATTCATGTCATGCCCAAATAAAAAGCCAAGTCAACTAATATCTTCTAAATTAAACTACCATGGGCCTGGAGAGACTTACTGTTTATACACACAATGCCACACACTACCTAACCTTTTATTTATCTTAGCATGCATGACACTTGCTATGTATGTTACATATAATGATTTTTATTATCTTATTTACAGAGAATTTGGAGGCAATCAGACTTGTTTTGTACCTTTGTATGCATGTGCTTTATATAAATATATTTCTTCTTACTCTCACTGTAATCATTTTAAAGGAGTTTCTGTTGAATAAACTTTTAAATATACCTGACGAGTGGTGGATTCAAGTGTCTCTTATCAATTGTATGTTTTTGAAATAGCACATGGATGTCTTCTAATGTATTCCTATTTCTATTTGCCCAATATGTTCCTTTTATTAGTTGATTTCAGTCGGGTATGAAAGGAAGTGGCAGTTATCTAGGGGTTTCCAAAGTTATTCAAAACACTAATCTAAGAAACCTTCTCTGCATAGGTACATATTTGGATACACGTACTTTTTAAAAAGTTTTTATTTAAGTTCCATTTTCATTATACAAACATATTCACACCTATGTCAGAAGTGTTTTTCCATTAATTCAACTGTATCTCTAAAGCCAACACATAGAAATAAAATAATACAATTTGAAATAAAATAATAGCTATATGAAACAATAAGATATTAACTTTTTACAGTACCATTGTTTTTGTTACAGTACCACTGAATGATTCACTCAAGGTTCAAGGTTCTTTATTTGTCATACGAACATAGCTACAGTGTAGTTATGCCGATTACATTCTTAGGTCACAGGCTTCTCCAACAGTGCAACACAATAACACAGATAAACAGAAAAATATAGTGCAAGTAAATACAAAAATAAAAATAGTTTAAAAAAGTGAAATAGTGCAATGAGAGTCTATATGCAAGTTATTGGAATATGATATATTAGGTCAATAGATAAATAATTTCTAAGTAGTTAAATAATTTTAAAGTAGCAGCCAGATGAATATTTTGGATGTTGTTTCAACAGTTCAGGTGTTTAACAGATTTTGCTTCAGCAGTTCAGGTGTTTAACAGTCTTATTGCCTGTGGGATGAAACTGTCCCTGAGTCTGGTGGTTTTAGTCCGAATGTCTTGTTTTCCTAGAGAATCCTTGATTTGGTCAATATAATAACAACCATCACACAATCATGTGCCCTGATATTCACATTGTGTAATACATTTTAAAGCTTGTAGATAATGACCTGCTCTTGAGTGCATCATTTCAAGCAAAAGGGATTTCCAGGTACCATAAAATGACCTGAACTGAATCACAAAGTTCAGTTTCACTCACTGAATGATGAGAAAGGTGACACACATAGAGAAAATGTGAAGAAATTACAGGGACTTTACATAAAAACACACAGGCTAATATGTAAACGTATGCCACTCCTTATTGAAAGTAGACATGTAGTGTGATTAACATCACAGCTCTCGGCACTGTACATTTTCGACACATCATGGAGGAGTGGTTGTACAACAGGAAGTTAGGGGAAGTACAGCAATCTATAATAACCTCATTCAAGAATTCTTTCTGATGATTCATTTGCAGACCTGTCTTCAAATCCTCTATGTAAGTATCAAGAATGCTCCTTGTACCATTGATTTAAGATTCAAATAGTATTGTTGTTATTGCTCTGGCTATTTCAATTGTATATAGCCTACGAATATGCTCCGTTTGTAACATCTCTAAATATCTCTTTACAATTGTATTGTAAATGTTCATGTTTGAATGTGCCCTCAGATATAGTAGGGTTACAGATGTGAACAGTGGTTGAAATTAACTAAGTACATTTACTTGATTACTCTACTTAAATACATCTTTGAAGTATTTTAGCCATATTTTCACAGTGCAGTATTGCTACATCACTTATGTCAAATAGTACTTATTCCAATACTGCATAAGTAGGTAATATTAATGTTTGTATACTTTTTTTATACACAGATTGGAATTTAACAGCTTGTTTCTGGAGTTGACTAATGGGATTTGACACAGAGGTTGTCATTCATTTTGTTACAAATTCAAATGTAGTATAAGTGAGTAAAATTGTCTGGATTTCACACACTTCGTTACAGTATTACATTTAATCATCCATTTATAAAATAGTTGCATTAGTGTGTTTGAAGTGATTGAATGTCCGGGTTTGCCAGGAGGACAGATAATGAAACAAAAAATAATCCCGGGTAAAAATCGTGGTCATTCCGATGTATGTATTTTATGTAATCCATCTGAATATGCTGATTGTTGGTGTGATGTTCTAATATTAGCGGAGGGATTTCCAGCAACATTATATATTTTGTTGACTGTCTCATTTTCATTTCAACATACAGCAGTCATGCGCTGTGGTGGTCTGTGACGTCACGATACGTCTCGAGTCGGGACTTTCCATACCGACTGAATTGGGAAACGGTGAGTAGACTCAGTGATGCTACTGGAAATGTCATGTTACCTTGCTGTCTTATTAATTGTCTCAACTCAGACAATTTAGTTCTCTTTCCGCCGTGCTGCTGCAAAGACTAATGAGTCGTGTTTGACAGTTAGTCGCGTTAACAGACGTTAGCGTTAGCATGCTAATGTCGGTTGGTCTTGTCAAACTGGTTTCTGTGGGGCGTTAATATACAGTATATGGTTGATACACATCATCCAGGAACTGCTTTGTTCTAATAAATGGTTCAATGCAACAATTAGAAATCAATCCAAATCTCTCCTGGTTATTTAATGACATAGTTAACAGTTAAAGCTGAATTGAACCACAAAATAACCAGTCAAACGGGAAGTGTCTGGAGAGCAAGGTACCTCTCCACAAACTTCCCATTTCCATTTTGTACATACTCGAATATTGTCCTTGCCTCCTCTCCTACTGTCCTAATTTCGCCCGTGAAGGGGGAGAGGAGATAGGAGTCAAAGACAGGAGTCAAGGCACTTGTAAATCAAGTCAGATATACAAAAAACAAGTCGTATCCAGGTGAAATGACATTAACAAATATGGTTAAAACAGGGGTGGTATTGCTTGGGGATTATATCATGGTTAGAGATTATTCCAGATGTGTATCATGCTTCTTTTAAAGCTCAGGTTCCGAAAACATACGCCCATAGCTGCTTCGGCAACCCTCCTCAGTTATGGAGAGAGGAGATGAGGAGGCACAAAATCCTGAAATGAGAAAGGCCCCTAGCCTAATGTGACCCTGCCAAAAGAAAATACCAGTTATGATTATAATGTGAATGTGTAGCTAATTCACCACT